GATGCCCTAGACAGTCTTCTGTGTCTGCTGATTCTGCATCAATACATTCAACCAGCGGTGGCAGAAAATACTCGACAAGGGGGTGAGATAGCTCACCTGCCAGTCAATACTACAGAATGAGACTGCCTCCGTAAGAAAGAAAGGGGGAGAAGGGAGGGAGAAACCACCCTAAAACTCACAAAGAGTCTCAAGGAACCCTTAGGAGCACCCCCCCATTTCAAACTTAACTGCAAAGCTACAGTAATTAGTACAGGGTGGCACTGACATTAAATCAGACATATATCTGGATGGTGGTGACACACACCTTTAATCCCAGCACTCAGGAGGCAAAGGCAGGCAGATCTCTGTGAGTTCGAGAACAGCTTGGTCTACAGAGCGAGTTCCAGGACAGCCTCCAAAACAAAAACAAACTACAAAGCAACACAGAGAAACCCTATCTCAAAAAAACAAAAAAAAGAAAAAAGAAAAAAGAAAAATCACCCAGTGACAAAGAGGGAGGACTGATGAGCATAGGGGTCAAGACTGGGCTTGTTTAACTCACAGGAACAGCTGATCTGAACAAGGGGGAGCCCTTGAACCCCAGAGTGATGGCTGAGAATCCAGCATGGGACTGATCCAGACCCCCTGAATGTAGGTGTCAGTGAGGAGGCCCCGGCCATCTATGGGGCCTTGGGCAGTAGATTAGTATTCATTCCTGGCATACAAATGGACTTTGGGTGTCCATCCCACAATGAGAGATGCTCTCTCAGCCTGGACTCTTGGGGGAGGGTCCAGGCCCTGCCCTGGATGAAATGACAGACTATGAACAACCCCCATGGAGGGCCTCACCCTCCCTGGGGAAAGGAGGGATTGGGGGGATTGGTGGGAGGGTGTGGGAGGAGGAGAAGGAGAGGGAGCTGGGATTGACATGTGGAGCAACCTTGTTTCTAATTTTAATTTAAAAATAAAAAAGACAAAAAATATCAGACATATATACCAGTGGAAAATAACAGAAAGTCCAATAGATAAGAAACATGGCTGGGTGGTGATGGCACACACATTTAATCCCAGCAGAGGCAAGATGGGTCTCTGTGAATTCAAGGCCAGTCTGATCTACAGACCAAGTTCCAGGACAGCCATGGCTACATAGTCAAACCTTGTCTCAATAAACCAAAGAAAGAAAAGAAACACACACATATGATTATTTGCACATGTGATGTATGTATGCATGCAGTATTAATGACTTTAAAATGTTTTTGAGTCTCACTATTTTGTCTGAATATGTGTATAACACATGTATGCATTGTTTTCGGGGCCAGATGAAGGTGTTGAATCCCCAGAACTAGAGTTGCAGCCAGTTGTGAGCTGCCATCTCTCCAGCCCCACCAAATGACTCTTTCAAATGACTGCTGTGATTTTTCGTTTGTCTGGTTTTGTTTTTAATATTGGAGGAGTAAGTTTATTGAAGATACCTGGGAAAGCATAGTCAGAGGCAGGGATACCTGGGAGAGTCCAGAGTGAGCAGGACCAGGTTGAAAAGAGGGGAGAGGAAAAGGGAGAGGAGGGGCCGGGCGTTGGTGGCACACGCCTTTAATCCCAGCACTCGGGAGGCAGAGGCAGGCGGATCTCTGTAAGTTCGAGACCAGCCTGGACTGCCACAGAGAAACCCTGTCTCGAAAAAACCAAAAAAAAAAAAAAAAAAAAAAAAAAAAGGGAGAGGAGGGGAAATCAGGTGCAGCAGTCAGGAGGCTGGGCAAAGCTCCAGTGCACCAAACAACTTTTGACAAAAGTGTCAAGATAAACCGGGCATTGGTGGTGCACGCCTTTAATCCCAGCACTGGGAGGCAGAGGCAGGCGGATCTCTGTGAGTTCAAGACCAGCCTGGTCTACAGAATGAGTTCCAGAACAGGCTCCAAAACAATACAGAGAAACCTTGTCTCGAAAAAACAAAACAAAAACAAAAGTATCAAGACAGAGAAAGGACAATGCCTTTAATAAATGGTTCTGGGAAACTGAGTGTCCACGTACCAAGCTGCGAGCATAACTACTTGTTGGCAGTCTTGTTGGCAGTTTGTGGAGGAATTGGAACCCTTATGCAGGACTGATGGCAACAGAAAATGATAAGACTATCTTGGAACACTGGCAGTTTATCGGCAAAAAAAAAAACAAACAAAAGACAAAGTTACTTAGACTTAGGAATTCTAGCCTTTCTTAGTGTATAGCTAAAGAATTAAAATCAGGCTGGAGAGATGGTTCAGTGGTTTAGAGCACTGGCTGCTCTCCCAGAGGACCTGGTTCAATTCCCAGCACCCACCTGGCAGCCTGTAACCATCTGCAAATCCAGTTCCAGGGCATCCAACACCTCTTCTGGCCTCTGAGGGCACCAGGCATGCACATGATGCAGACATAAATGAACATAAAACATTCATAACACATACATTTTTAAAAATTAAAACCAGTGTCCTGACTAGTTTTATGTCAACTTGACACAAGCTAGAGCTTTATCTGAAAAGAGGAACTAATTGAGAAAAATGCCTCCTTAAGATCCAGCTGTAGGGTATTTTCTTAATTATTGGTCAGTGGGGGAGGGCACAGCCCATGGTGGGTGGAGCCACCTCTGGGCTGGTGGTCCTGGGTTCCATAGGAAAGCAGTCTGAGGAAGCTAGGGGAAGCAAGCAGCACCCTTCCGTGGCCTCTGCATCAGCTCTGTCCCATTTGAGTTCCTGTCCTGACTTTCTTTGTACAGTGCTGTAGAAGTGTAAACCAAACAAACCCTTTCCTCCCTAACTTGCTTTTTGGTCATGTGTTTCATCACAGCAATGGAAACCTGACCAGGATACAGTGATTGCCCAGCACTATTTCCCACAGTGGCCAAAGGTGTAAACAGTTCAGTGCATGAAGGATGAAGGGTAAACAAAATGTGGTCACTCGAAGGAGGGGTCAGTCACTTTATTTTCAGGTAATTTTGAAATAGGATCTGACTACGTAGAGCAGGCTGGCCTGGAGCTCACAGAGATTCACCTGCTTCTGCCCCCTGAGTCCTGGGATTTTTTTTTTTTTTGGTTTTTACGAGGACAGGGTCTCTCTGTATTGTTTTGGAGGCTATCGGTCCAGCCTGGCCTCGAACTCACAGAGATCCGCCTGCCTCTGCCTCCCGAGTACTGGGATTAAAGGCGTGTGCCACCACCTCCCGGCTTGAGTCCTGGGATTAAAGGCTGACTTGTTTAAAAAATATTTTATTTTTATATGTAAGAGTGCTTTTGCCTGCATGTATATATATGCAAGCCATTTATTTGCCCAGTGCCAAAGAAACTAGAAAAGGCCATCAGATCCCCCGGAACTATAGTTATGGATGGTTGTAAGCCGCAGTGGGTGCTGGTAAACAAACCGAGGTCCTACACAAGAGCAGTCAGTGCTCTTAACATCTCTCCAGGCACTCAGTCAACACTTAAAAGGAAGGAAACTTAGACGCATGTTATAGCACAGAGGAACCTTGAAAACATACTAAATGAGCCGGGCGTTGGTGGTGCATGCCTTTAATCCCAGCACTCAGGAGGCAGAGGCAGGCGGATCTCTGTGAGTTTGAGATCAGCCTGGACTACCAAGCGAGTTCCAGGACAGGCTCCAAAACAATACAGAGAAACCCTGTCTCAAAAAAAAAAAAAAACTAAAAAAGGAAAAAAAAACATACTAAATGAGATACATTCACAAATGGACAAACACTGTGTGAGCACCAGGTATGTGGGCACACAGTCAAATTTAGACTCAAAATGTGGGTGCTCAGTGTTTGATGAGGGCTCAGTGTTCAATGGAGAACTTCTGCTGTGATGAAATGGCTCTGTGAATGGTGGTGACGGCTGCACAGCCTTATGCATATATTTATTAACACCACTGCTCCATAGTATACTTTGCAATGGTTACTACGATAAATTTTGTCATGCACATTTGAGGCGATGCCCTAAAACAAAACGAAAAGGCCGTTTGGAAAAGGCCTATGTAGGAGGGGCTTGGTTGTGTGGTCTTTCACACAAGCCTGCTGCTCACTCTCTGCTTAGTCCCGGAGTTGGCTCCTGCTGCTTGGGGCCGCAGGGTAATCGGAATTCACAGAAACAACCCCTCCCTTAAGGGAGGAAGTTTAAATTATCAGGTCAATTAGGAAAGATACAACCGAAAAAAAAAATCCAAGTTTCATTCACACTTCAAGGAGGTGTTTCCCGGTTGGGTGCCACTTTTATTATTTTTGGCCCAGGCTACTGAAAGCCCCACAGACCCTTGGAAGGTACAATGTGATCTTTGATTCCCGTTTCAAGGATCAAAGCGAGTGAGTTTGGGTGTAAATGCAGATAACATTTCAGAGATCTTTCATGAAAAGAGTCACCAGAGCGGGGCAGTCAGGGAGCTGGTGTGTAGGCATGTGCTTGCCTTCCTTAAGTATTACCGTGCAGCAAAGCCTTCTGGTCCTTGGACCATCTAAACACGCGTCTGGGTTGTGGGATGACACCACGACGACACGGAGGAGCTAGAGGGACAAACCCTCATATGCATGTGAAGGGCACATAGGCTCTGGGTGCCCACTGGGCTCCCCAGAACCTGGCAGCACGCTGGGCTAGGCAGCCAGCCCTCACCGTCCTCTCTGGATTCTGACAAAGACAATACCCACGCGAGACGAGGAAAGCCCCAGGCCTTGCTTGCTTGCCTGCAGCTACTATGACTCCAAGCAGAGGGATGTGCTGCCAGCTTGCCCTGCCTGTTGCGGCCGGGGTGGATATGCAGACACACTGGGGCTTATCAGGCTCTGAGCATGGCACCGGACGGTGACAGGCACTGGGTGGACCTGTCACTCGGGGAAATACACTCCCCCGGCCTGCAGGCTCAGCAACCACTCAGTACCGGAGACCTCGCGACCCAACCCCCGCTGGCCCACAGCGCAGTTCTCCAGATGACAGCCAGAACTTGGGAAAGCCGCCTCTGCCCTTGCGTGCGACAGGACCAGCCGGCGCCTGCGTACTCAGCCTCTCGGCATGGGAGCGAGTGCGCGCTCCCATCACTCCCTGCGCCGCGCCGTCGCGCTGGCACCCTGCGGACGTCTGCGAGGCAGACGCCTCACGGCTCACGGCGCAGGCGCGGAGAGCCGAGCGTGCGCGCGCAGCCCCGCGGGAAGGCGAGCGGAGCGTGGGGCGTCCGGGGTGGCAGTGCGCACGCCGGAGGGGGGCGTGGCTGACGAGGCGCTGGGTGAAATCCTGGGAACCGGCTACCTCGAGACTTTTCTCGGCGGCGTGGTTAGTGGGGCTGGGTCCGTGCGGCGGCGCGAGGTGGGGCGGCGGGCTGAGGAGTCACGGCCGCGCTCTCCTGATCTCGCTCAGGCTCTTCTCGCTCTTCACTTTGCAGGTGGCTGTGGGATCCTGGCCTCGGAAGCACGCTGCTCTGTCCGGTGTCCGTCAGCAGAGCCTGTGACCCTGGCGGCCTCGCACTGCACATTCTCAGGTAGGAGGGCTTCATTGACCCGGAGTTTATGAGCTGGGTGTCCTGCATCGTGGTTGCGGGCGGGCAGATGGGCGGTGCTGGTAGTCCGTCCTCCACTCATATTTTGACTTTGGGCAAGTTCTGTTCCCGGGTCTCCTGGGTCTTGGAGCAAAGAACTCAGCCAGTGTGTCAGGTACCACGCGCCGCGGGCCCCCTCCGTCTTCTACTAAATTGCTGCCCAATCCAGGAGAAGGAGCGAAGTTACTTAGCGCCAGGCAGGGTTGATGGAGAGAAGAGAGAGAGAGTTCCACAGACTGATAGGCAAGGGCGGTGTGGGATGGATGATCTTGAGGCTCAAAAAGTGAGTGACTGGCTCAGGGTTAGGAAGACCTTAGGCTGAAGCAGGAATAGACTGTTCCCGCGGGGGTGAGGTGGGCTACGCTTCTTCCTAGGTTGCTAGAGGCACTCAGGCAGATAGCATCTTAAGGTTCGTAGTTGGGGTGGCACACTGGCTTCTGGGCATGTTTGTGAGCAACCTGACACCTAGCTGGGGCCTGGGGCCTGGTTTGTGGGCTCTACTTTTTGGGAGCTCACTGAGAGACTGGATCTGGTTCATGATTACGGTGAGGATCCCAGGCCAAGGGCTGGGCTTTCAGGTGTGAGTCAGGGGTCTACCTGAGATGGTCAGAATGCTTGGCTGGTAGAGATGGGTGCGGGTGGTACTGGCAGCCAGGTCGCTTGGGAGGTGCTGGCGCAAATATCAACTTTGCTGTACTTCTCTGGAGAAACTGACTCTGGGTAGTGGCGAACCCGTGGAAAACCAGATGTGAAGATATATGCTGGTCTTGGCGCACCTAAGGGGAGAGCTCCAGGAGGGGTGAAGCAGAGAGTTGAGAGGAGGTCTCAAGCGGTGTGCTTCTCTCTCTAGAGAGACTGGAGCAGTGTGAGAGCCCAGAGGAGGACCCTTTGTCCTTCCTTGTGTGGCCTTGTGACCACAGCTTGGAATAAGGGTGGGTCCAAGCATCAGAAGGAGCTCTGGCCAGGTGCCGGTGGTGACAGATGAGACCCCGAAGTGGAGCTGCAGAATTTCACCTTTGGGGATTAGGGTGTCAGGTTATTGACTGGAATGAGGGTGAGGAATGTGCTCAGGATTGGGTAGCTTTGCCTGCAGGTGGTCTCTGGGATCCTGAGAGCAGGAGGAAACAGACTGAGCCGGGCAAGCTGCCTCTGTCAGGTGTGCCTGCTGCTGGATGGACAAGGATGTTCTGGCATGCACTGCTCTTAGTTTACAGGGTGCTAGCAGCCAGGAGCCCAAGCCTTCCACTCTGAAGGTAGTCCATAGCCTGTGAAATGATTTGTGGTTATGCTAGACTCTACTGCCAGGTTCTGTTCCTCTGCTAATTGGTGTGTGGCTGTACAAAAATCACTTTGCCATTCTTCCTTGGAAATAATAATAGCATCCAACTTGTTGGTGGTCAGCATTCAGCACAAATGGTACAAATAACAGTTACTATTGTCATTGTCCTAAAATTCCGTGAAGTTCTGGTCTAGCCCCTTCTAGGATTGACAGCATCTGTCATTACACCTTGAAAGTCACAGGCAGCATTTGTCTGTTTCCATTACCCTCCCAGGCCAGCCAGTGGGTCCCTCCTTCCACTCAGAGCAGCTAATCAGGTCCTCGGGGGTTTTCTGTCAGCTCAGTGGTGATGGTTGGGCCTAGTCCCTGCTCTTCCCCACCTTGTTTTTGGACAGATTTCCTTGGATGATGGCCTGCATCTGACGGTCCCTCGACTCTTACCGACTCAGCTCCCCTGGCCCTCAGCGTTTCCCTGGAATGGCAGTCTGCCACGCCTTGTCCAGCTGCTTCTTGGCCTGTTGTGTTATGCCTGCCACATCTGTCTGCACCAGACCCCGAATGGGCCCTTTCTTCCTGTACTCCTGGCATACCTCATGGCAGGTGTCATTGGCAGAGCCCTGGTAATCCTACACAGGTGGCAGCCAGTTTCACCAATGCCCACCCTTGGCAGCAGATGGATGGTAGCTCACGGCATGACCCTTGGTGGATTTCTGGATTGAGAGGCCCTTCTGTGGGAACCCCATGTGTGTGTACACCACCATGAATCAGAATAGCACAGCTAATGATTCTTCTGGCAGTAAGCCTCCAGAAAGAGGCCCTCCAGCTGGATGCATACCAGACCTCTGGCCACTCAGGACAGACCTCCACTGGGTTCCTAGCTTCAACCTTTGATGGCTTTCCATGACTGCTAGTCTGTTTTTTGGCCCCACTGGGAGATTATATGTTTTCCACTTTGAATACCATCAGGAAAATCTCAGCTGTGTCTGTGAGAGCCTCAGTTGACTGACAAGGCCTAGCCTAGCCTGATGATTATGAACTCTTCTGCCAGGATCTCAAAGAAATTATTCAAGACCCAAACAGTTTTGTTGAGTACCATGCCACTGTCTCCTGTTCTCTGCCTTCCACATCAAGCCAGTCTCCGGTGGCCCCCAGAGCTGCGTAGAGTAAGACATTACATGTTAGGTTCTCAGTGGGCCTAGCACTCAGAAGGATACTCTCCTGAGGCCTGCTTTACCTGCTCCCTCCAACTCCTGCTTGGTCTAGGCCACCGAGCAGCAGCTGCCAAGGAGAGCTACCCTGGGCTCCAAGAGCCCGTGACCCAGTCTGAATGCAGTGCTGTGAGGCCAGCTGCCTCCCATCCAAAGGATGCAGACCCCAAACTTGTCTCAGTACCTTCAAAATCTGTTGACTCCTATTCCTGAAGCTAGAGTCAGCTCATCTGGGGAGCTGAGAACCCCAGAAAACAGAAGAATTCTGAAACCTTAGGGGACCAGAAAGTATCTCTGGGTACCAGACATCCCATAAGAGCCATCCTTTGTTATGTTCCCTAGTCCTCCCTCATCCCTGCATTCTGACCGTGCTCTAGATGTACATCAGTGTTCCTGGTGATGAAGGGCTATACAGCGAGGGGACCCACAGCACCCAGACAGCACAGTGCTGCTACAGATGACTCCACTGACCCATGGCTGGATAGCTAGACAGGCATGTGAGCTTTCCCTGCTCCTGCCAGAATGTGGGCCTGTGTTGGGTTCCTAGGTGAGGTCCTATCCCACCTGGAAGACCTGGAAGTACTGTTCCACCTGGCCAGTTCCTACAGGAAAGTTTCTGTAGGTCAGCCCCCATCAGACTGTAGCACTCTTGCTAGATGCTGCCTCCACAAAGAACCATGATGGCATTTCTGGGCCCTCGCCCTGCCGTCTGGCCTCTGATGCTAGACTGCTTGAAGTGGAAAGAAGACTGCTTGAAGGAAGCCACTGCTCCTTTTTAACTGGTTTGCTTTTTTGTTTTTGAGGCAATGCTTCACTACATAATCTTGGCTGGCCTGGAACTTGATATGTACCACTCTGGCCTTGATCTCACAGAGAATCCCCTGCCTCTGCCTCTGACTTCTGGGTTTAAATCTTTTTTTTTTTCCCAGTGGTGTATCTATGGAGTATAATGTAATGGATACATGGATGTATAATGATCCAATCTGGTGATTGCTGTTTTCTTTTCCTAAATGTTAATCATTTCTTTGTATGGAATTGTATTTGCACTCCCTCATGATTCCTTATAAAATATGAAATGCATTATTGTCACCTGTAAGTGTATGTTTTGTTATGGAGTTATCTAACCTTCTTGTCTCCTAGTCTTTTCTGTCCTGTTATCATTATCTGCCTTCTGCTTCTACCAGATCAACTCTGAGAGCTTCCACGTGCAGATACATGTGGCATTTGTCTGTCTGTGCCTGGGCTTACTTACTTAATAGTGCCTTTGGTTCCATGTTGCTTGGATTTGGGTTTTTTTTGTTTTTTGTTTTTTGTTTGTTTGTTTTTTTGGTTTTGGTTTTGGTTTTTACAAGACAGGGTTTCTCTGTATTGTTTTGGAGGCTGTCGGTCCAGCCTGGCCTTGAACTCACAGAGAACCGCCTGCCTCTGCCTCCCGAGTACTGGGATTAAAGGCGTGTGCCACCACCGCCCAGCTCTGTTTTGTTGTTTTTTTATGGTTAAATAATACCCAATTGTATGTACATACTGCCTTTTAAAAACCCACTTATCTGATATTGCACACTTTGGTGGATTTCATTTCTTATGGGCAGTGCAGAAGCAACCATATTCATCCTCTGTTTTGTTGTTTTTTATGGTTAAATAATACCCAATTGTATGTACATACTGCCTTTTAAAAACCCACTTATCTGATATTGCACACTTTGGTGGATTTCATTTCTTATGGGCAGTGCAGAAGCAACCATATTCATCCTTCTGAGGGATAAGATGACATCTTAGCTGGGAACCATACTTCCTGTGTGCTTATTCAAAGCCCTGGCCTACTGGGAGGTTTGAATGAAGAAGGGTAGGAGCTAAACCTCTTGCTAGGCTCAACTCTACTCATTCCCCTCTTTACATGGCAACATTCTCACTACACCTGGTTATGCTTACAAAAGCCACTTCCTGCTCTGCAAACGCTCAAGTACACACACACACACACACACACACACACACACACACATACATGCATTGATGCTTCAACACTTAAAGCCACGTTGATGGAAATGACTTGCATCTCCTAGCAGATTGAGCTTCCTTGTCATGGTTTTGGCATAGATACGTGTTGCTGAAAGCATCACTGGTCTCAATAAACGGGAATTGATTTACTGCTGAATTATGGTGACTGCTAACAGTCCTTGTTTTGTGAACAGAAGTTCTATACCCAGTCTGTCAGCAGAACACAGCAAGTGTTACAGGTGTGCAGTGGTGGTTCCCAGTGGAGGCTGTGAAGGTGAGAGGGTCTGATAGAAGGGGTGGGGCCAGAGGGGGCAGGGAGTGCCAGGTGTTGGGTGGCCTTGGGTAAAGAAGAGCAGGTAGCAGAGGGAATGTGAGGCCTGGGATTGGAATGAGGAAAGACCAGTTTTGCACAAGGATGAGTTTCCAGGGGGAGCTGAGCACACACACACACTCCTTTGAGCCAGATTGATCTGAGATGGAGACAGCCTAGCAGTATGCAGCATGTGCCTACTTAGACAAGAGAGGAAACTTTCCTGGACACTTAACAGAACCATTACCAGGAGATACAGCTGGCTGCTTTAGGAGAGGCCATGATGAGCAAACATCTGGTGAGACTTGGATCAGGTCGTTGGACTGTTTGGTACCTTGCTAAAGAGATGTTTTGGGTCCAGGTGGTTTATTTGGAAATTATTTCTAGGCACAGACGTCAGTATACACAAAACAGCTGGGAATGTTGCTAACAAATGATTGTGCAGCAGCCCTAGGCTTCTGTTAGGGTTTGCCCAGCTGTTCCTTGATTGTTCATCGCTGGAACGGACTGTTCTCTTCTTCAGTTGTCTGTGGCTAGGCCTGCCAGTGACTCTGTGGTGGGACCTGGAATGGCTCTCTGGGACGATGGTCTAGTTACTCACTGACCCTTGTATCTTGCTGGCCCTTAATGCATCTACCTTCCCACCTCTGATGGACCTGAAGTGGATGAACCCTTCTGCTTGAAATCACCATCATTCCTGTTGACCCCGCTCTTCCAGGGGCATCTCTTGAAGGCTTGGGAATGGTTGCCTACGTCTGCAGGCCTTTTGCTTTCAGCAGAGTCTGAGACATTGGGAGACTTTGTAATGCTCCAACATTTGAAGCACTTGGATTTTGGAATAGAGAAACAACAGTGAGGCAAACTATTTTAGAGCCATATAGGTAGACAATTTAGTACGTTATTTGTGGTGTTTCAAATGCATGTCAGGAAAACCACTTTGATAACCGGTTGGCTTTCTGGGAAGCAGTGGAGCAGCACACCCATATCAATCGTGCCAGCACACACTCCAGATGGATTAAAGATGGCATTTTTTAAGGTCATAAAAATACTTGTTAGCTTCCAATTGTAACAAGGGCCAAATAATCAGTTTGTGAGAGGAAAGGTCTGGGGTCACAATTTTGGAGGTTTTAGTACACTATTTGTTGGTAGCATGTCAGGGTGGCCCCATGTAGCAAAACCATTCACCTCATGTCTAGGATGAGAAAAAAATGAAAAGAAGGGGCAGAGATCCCAGTATCCCTTTCAAGGACACTTCTGTGACTTGAAACCTCCTATGTACCTCACCTAAGGTTCCACTACCTCCCCGCAGAGCATTTAAGATCAAACTAGAGCAGTTCTACAGAAAACACAAGTAGTTCTACAAGTTAAGTTTCACATGTCCCAAATTGCCAAGGGTATGGCAGATGGACGCCATCTTGTTGTTGTTGGGGCTATAAAATGCTTAGGTTTCACCATGTTAACAGTTGTATGTATATACAGTATATATATATATACAGTATATATGTAGTCTGACCACTTGCCCATATGCTGTATGGTGTGTGTATCTGAGAGTGGAGTTGAGTTTAGTCACACCCTGTTTCTTCACCTGACCCCTGTTAGGTGTTAGTTTGTCCTCACTGGCTGCCCAGGGTTGAATGAGGATATCCACTGTGCCCTGACTGAGGCCTAAGCACCTGTGACTTTCTGTCATTACATTATGAACAGCAAAATTAGAAGCGTTAAAGATCCAGCAATAGGGGCAGAGCAAGTAGAGCTGTCATTCTTACAGCTTCTGTCAGCATCAGCTAGAACCTGAGTGGGCACCTCATTGCTGCCCACCCCACGATTCTGGGCGTGGACTGGATATGCTCTGCTTTTGTTGTACTTCAGAAACACTTATCACACGTCTCCCACCAGCACATACTCCTGCACAGTCAGTGATGCCATTGGAGCCATGGGTCACCCCACCCACTCTGCTGCAGCCAGAGCCACCGCTGCACCTGAGCTACAGAGGTCCTCCTCATGTGGGTGGTATCTGAGTCACTGTGTGTGAAGAGACACTATGACCAAGGCAACTCTCTTAAAAGAAAACATTTAACTGGGGGCTTCTTACAGCTTCAGAGGCTTAGTCATTTTCATCATGGTGGGGAGCATGGTGGCAGGCGTGGCACTGAAGCAGTAGCTAAACAAGAAGTTGAGAGCTATACCCTGGTGTAGAGAAAGAGACTCGGAGGGCTTGGCGTGGCTCTTGAGGCCTCAGAGTCCACCCCAGTGACACACTTGCTCTAACAAGGCCATATCTCTTAATCCTTCTAATCCTTTCAAATAGTGCCACTCCCTGATGACTGCACTGTAAATGAGGTTTCTCTGTACTGCCCCATTCCACAGCTGCTTTTAAATAATCACCCAGAGGCTTAATAATATTAATTGCAAAATGCTGAGGCTTATTACTAACTAGCTCTTACTTTTTTTTTTCCGAGACAGGGTTTTTCTGTATTGTTTTGGAGGCTGTCCTGGAACTCACTCTGTAGACCAGGCTGGCCTCAAACTCACAGAGATCTGCCTGCCTCTGCCTCCCGAGTGCCGGGATTAAAGGCATGTGCCACCAATGCCCCCTGGTAGCTCTTTTAAATGAACCCATTTCTATGAATCTATGTTTTGCCACATGTCTCTGTGGCTTTACCTGTGCTCTAATACATCTTGTTCCTCTGGTGGCTGGTGGCACCTCCCCAACTCCCCCTTTCTCCCTGTATTCAGTTTGGCTTTCCCATCTATCTTTATTCTGCTTTGCTATAGGCCAAAGCAGCTTCTTTATTAACCAATGAGAGGAATACATATTCATACCCTACAGGAGGATTATCCCACAGCACTAAGCATTCAAATATATGAGCCTATAGGGGCCATTCTTATGCAGACCATCAAGGTCAGCTACTTAGTACTGAACTGAGTAAGCAGCCCTTCACATCGGAGGCAGCCATTGTAGAGAGAGGGTAGGCCTGTAATCCACAGTGTGTGTGTTAAAACCAGAAGTGCATCTCCTATGTTTCTGGAGTGGAGAAATCCAAGATCAAGTTGCAGGTAGAGTGGTTTTTCCTAAGGCTTCCCCTTGGTTTGTGAATGGCCATCTTCCCTGTGTCCTTGCCCAATCAATCCCTCTGAATGTGTTTCCATGTCCTAATCTACTGGGACACCAAGCATATTGGATCAGGCCTACCCTAAAGATATTTTACCTAAACTACCTCTTTAAGTACAGTAGCCAAATATAAGCATGTTCTGTCACACAGTGGGGACTAGGACTTCAGCTGAAGAATTTGGGTACTTCAGCCTAGAGCAATGCCTGAGATGATTTTATTTTCATTTTGTAGTTTTCAACAGTGCTGTGGACAGCCCTCTGTACGTATGCGGGGCCCCTCAGGGCCTTGGTCTTGGGGCTGGTGCTGAGGTGTGGAATTGCTAGTCTCTACCCTCAGTAGGCTGTTCCTAGTTGTTCTGCACATTGGCTTGTTTCATTTATTATTTAAGAAAATTTCCCTACATGAGGGTTCAAAGGCATTGTCCTATTTTCCTAAAGTCTCATGTGTTGCCTTTGACATTAAGCCTGGAGTCTCCTTGTTAGTGTGACTGGGATAAGGGAGGTCTTCTGTCAAGGCTGTGATAGGCAGAGAATCTGACAACCATAATGGCTATGTAACCTGAGCAAGCAATAAATTTTTCATGTGTGAGGTCACTGAGAGGGGTCTGTGTGTGTGTCTGTGTGTGTGTGTGTGTGTGTCTGTGTGTGTATGTCTGTGTGTGT